TTATAAGCTTTTATTTAACTTGGTCATCCCCCGCAAATCGCGGAAATTTCCAATCGATTTTAAACTGACTTCCCGACAAGTTAGAGACTTGAAATTTTCAGCATAGTTCCAATCACGATGACAATGCAATTTAAAATGTAAATGAATTCTCCATATGGTCCAGGGGTCTTGATTCAAAGGCGGTCAAAAAATAGTAAGATTTATGGCTAACAGAGCGTAATTTGCCAAAGAACGTAAAACCACTATAAAATTGTTAAAGCTGCCGGCGCGCCGCGGCGGTAGTGTAGCAAAGCTATTCCTAGTCTATATATGAACCTCGTTGTAGGCATCATATCAAGGAGATACAATTAAAAGACTCCAGATGTCACCCCGCCAGAAGAAGTTAAATATTGCGCCTAAATATATGCCATGCTACAGCGGAAATGGACGACACGCCATTTCTTTAAATAAAATTAACTGCTGCTATATGTACATATGTATGTTTATACAAAACGTAAGCAAACAACATTTGGCTTGACAAGTCTTCTGTTCTCTTTCATTGCAAGTTGAATTAGTTTAATATCTATTTGTACATAAAATAAAATAATACTTTTTAATATACAACCCTTTTATAAATGGACTAAAAATTATAAAATAAAATAATGTAAAAAAAATATTTTTTAAAAACAAGCTTTTATTTAACCTGTACAATCAAAGGAATAAAATGAAGTAGTGTAACAAAAGATTTTTTAGCAAGAAAATTTTGTCAAAACTGCACTAAAATGAATAAAATAAAATAAGTTAAGATCTCGTTAAAGTTACTAAAAGCCATTTAGTGAAAGGAGTTATTCAAGCTCTAATGAAAATTACTAACAATTTGTACTAATTTACTTCGTTTTTAAAAAAGCTTTTCGGCGAATTCAGCGTACATGCATAATTGGTTAGGTATGTATGTATATGTATGTATGCAGATATTTAAATGCCGGTTTGCTATTCACGCGACAAGCTTTTTTAAAAACGAAGTAAATTAGTACAAATTGTTAGTATGTAAAAAATTTTTGAGAAAAAATCATTAGTTTAATAGCACGAGTGAAACACCGTACACGTGATAGAAGTAAAACTTCTTAAAAAAGCACATGTGTGCGCCCCACCCCCAGTAGAAATCTTAACAACAATTAAACTACGAGGCAGTCAGACGAATACAATTGTTTATTGTATCCAAAGTTGGTACCAAGTTGATAAGTTTTTATCATTTCTCATATATTTTTTATTTTTTATTTTTTCGAATACATATCATCCTTGATATCATCATATCCTTGATCATCCTTTTTCGCTTTATTCCGTATTCGAAAAACTATATTTCAATGGACACATCGATTTGAATACATAATTTAGATTTAGATAATATTTTTAGCAATTTATTTGAGAAAAATAAAACATTTAGATTATTGTTTGTATTTTCGTCGGTTTTAAATTTGCTACCCCAAAATAATTGATATCAAATAAAACACCTCTTTGAGGTAAAATTTTCGAGTGACGAATGCTTAAGTAGAAACACAAAATTTATGATTCAATTTTGTGACGAAAATTATACGCATTTTTTAACTGCCTTGGAAACGTACGGAAAATCTTTTTTTATTTATTCGGAACGTTGCGAAAATCCGCCTACTGCTAGAAACACAAAATAAAAAACAAAACTTTTGCAACGATTCGTATGAATAAAAAAGATTTTCTCTACGTTTCCAAGGTAGTTAAAAAATGTGTATAATTTTCGTCACGAAATTGATATCATAAATTTTGTGTTTCTAGTTAAGCATTCGTCACTCGAAAATTTTACCTCAAAGAGGCGTTTTATTTGATACATATATGCAAACAATTATAGCTTTTAGTATAATACATAATAATATTTTATTAAAATACTTGTAAATCGTGTGGAATTCGTTACTTATGTACATATTCACGAAATTAAATACTAAACAAATTTAAAGGTGAATAACAATTTGGATAAACTTATTTTACGGAACGTATCTTAGCTTTGAGCACCACAAAAGCCACCAACCTAAAAACTAGGGTAATTATCAATAGCGCTATAAAATCGTTCCAAAACTGATCACCTTGCATTGTGATCTCTTCGAGGAATTTCTTTGGATATCTGCAGAAGAAATGTAAAATATATATGTTGGCATAAATACACTTTCTTGTAGTTCTTACCTGTAATGGCAGTACGGAGCTTCATTGCAATCTAACACACCTCTACCCTCTCCATAAATTGCACCTATAAACCCTTCGAGGCCGTATCGAAGATAGGATATGTGGCTGCCCCATTTCAAATAACTGGGCAAATCACGAAGAGTTACGCCGAAACCGGCAAACATCATCATAGGAATTGTGAGCACTGGCGCCAAAAAAGTGCCATTCTGCGGAAGATATTCATAGTTAGAATCAAGTGAAGTTTTTAGGAAAATATAGGCGGTATAATTTATGTGCTACATATATGGGGAAATCTTTTGAGATTGTGACATTTCGTGTACTATCTTATTGTTCCGTCACTAGCTTATTGTTTCGTCGTCTGCACTGTCAATTCCGGTTTCTACACTTTCGTTAATACCACTCACATGTGTAAATACCAGTGAAAATAACAAAACTAACGGTTTAAATGACAAATTTACTCGCTAAAATGGAGAAAAGCAGGATATTTCTAGTGCAGCTCGCATTAAATTAAATTAATTATTAAGATGCCACATCTCTGGGTTTTAGACGTTCATTTGTAGCTTATGAGGAGTAAACAAACTGTAACTGAATTTCGCGTATTTTATAAAAATTATGAATTTTCTTGGGATAGTCGTTGAGCGGTACTTATTTTTTTATTTGTGTACATATATAAAATATAATTTACTTCCTCGGAAGCAGAATCCTAGGTTATAAGACAACGTGCCGCTTAACGTTTCTAAAAAAATCGTTTTGAGAAAACGCGTTACTTAATAAGGGTTTTTCGTTGAGCACAACATATGAAAAGCAAAAAATGGCGTGTGCAGTACCGTACCCATGATAGAAGCAGTGTTGCCTGAACTTTTTGGGCCGACCGGATATATTGGCAAAAAAAAGCGGCTAAAATGTTTCAACTAAAGTTCACATGTTTTATTTAAAGAAATCGCAAGTAGAAGGACTAGTAAAATCATAATTCTTTTTTTTTAGTTAATAAAGGTTATACATAGCAAAGCTTTACACCACTCGTTAAATAAGTCATCGAAACAGAGACTGGTAAGTTCTGTTTAACAAAAGAAACTGTGGTTATACGTACATCAGAAGCCATGTTTGTATTAGTTAAATATTAAAAAAAAAGAGATCAATTACAAACTTATGGCGTTTTCTTTTTTATTAAAAAATTTTGCCTTACATTGTAACATTTGCACTAGGTTACTTTTCGTCCTGAAAAATAGCTATATTAGTATAAAGTATTTTGCTTAGTCGGAGTGCAATATTTTGAGAAATGAACACGTGAAGCTGTGATAGGGCTGAAGAAAACAGGCCAACATTATTTCGAAAAAAGAAAATGCCATTCAGCATTATCATGGGTTTAATTTTCTCCGAACTTTTCACTTTTGGTTTCCATGGTTTTACTATGGGCGGATGATTTTCGGGTGATTTTTTTTTCAGGCGAAACTCAGGATAAGGCAGATTAATTTATATCGAACAAGCCGGTCGCTTTTTAAGTTTTTAACAATTCTACTATTTAATTGTATTTTGACGTCTATATATATGAAAATCCTGTTTGTAATGTCCTACTCACTCTCTCACATGCCTGTCTCAGAGCAATAATAATCAACAATAAAGTATGTTGTCACCATGATACAATTATTCACAGGTATTGTCTTCCCATAGAGTTTTGTTTCACATCGATATTCGTGCTCTTTTATTCTCATTCGTTATTTTCTAAGTGTTGCGAATAAAACTCCGCACTTAAATTTAAGCCATTCTTAACAAAAATTGTATAAAGAAAGTCCCCGCTACGTCATTCTTTGGAAAAAACCCAAATATAAAATAGGGCGCGAGATTTTAGCAAGTGGTGGCTATTTTTATTTAGTGTATTTAATGTTTAATATTTTTTTATGAAAATATAGCTTAAATATTATATTATATATAATATTATAAATATTACTCAACAAACACTTAAAAGTCTTAATTTCAGATTTTGTGCAAAAATTTCACCAACTTTTAACTTTTTAATCGGCTTGTTTACAAAATGGTATGTATGCAGTTTTGTAGTCCATTAGTAGTCCGTTGATTTTTGTAATTTTTTTATGACGGTGTTACGAATTTTTTCTATAAAAAGTATGTTCTAAAATTTTGTATATGGAGAAAAATGCGGAACACTGCACTATGCCTTGCCGCGCAAAAATTAACCCTAATGGTCACACCTCCAAAAAATAGCGTAATGGTCACACGGGTCCAGTGGACATCAACCCAATAAACAGATGCCTCGTACGTTCTATTTTAAATATCGACTCGAATCCACCACTGACCTTAAGTTTAAGACTTTCTCTTAGTTATCTGACAGGTTTTTGCCAACTTATAAATTATAACACCGTGAATTATTTCATAAAACTCATGATTTTGTACCAAGTAGTTACCTATGAAAAATTATAATTTCTTTAATATCGCACAAAATCGCAGTATGAGATTATAGGGAAATAAGAGATCAGGGACTATTCTACCGATTTATGATGAGCTTGTTTTAAACGTGTTTAAACATTTTTTTTTAAAACACTAAGTAAACTTTTTTTATTGTACAATTTAACTTTAAAGTCACTTAAATGCGGACGTTTCTTTGGCACAACCTTTAAACTATAATACAAGTTTTAATTGGTAAATATTCTGCTAAGCGCCACTCTTTCTTTCCACTTTTCACTTTTGAAAAGGAGCAAATAGATTACGAGATACACGCATTTGAAAGTGGCACAAAATCAAGCTACACATTTTTCGTTTACAGAAAATTTCGAAATTATCTGTTTGAGGGTTACCAAATCAACGGTAAGTCAATTTATCGAAAAAAAGAGTATACAGTTTTTTACTCTGAAGTATTCTCTGTAAGATAAGACAAAAAAAAATTAATTTCAAGCAAGTCAAGAAATTGACTTTTGGCCACAAAATAGACTCAAATTTCCCATAGTGCACTGTCAACAAAAAATTTTCAATAATTAACGGTAAGTGCGAGCTATCTTAAATTTGTACTTTAGTATACTAAAATTTCAAATTAAAAAAAAGCAGAATTTTCATCATTTTCGAATAAAATATGATTTTGGATTTAAATGGTGTTTGTAAGTAATCAGTTATACTTTCATAAAAAAACAATAAGCTGAAATGTCGCGTCCCAGTTCATATTTGGGTCACTGTACTATATTCAAATAAAATTAAAATCATTGAAATACTTTACACAGTCCGACATGAAAATTTGCTCCGAGATAAGGCTAGCAGTTTTTAATAGATTTTAGGTCGCGAAGTATGTTAAAATGGAAACTTATACGTACATATATTTAAATTTTAATAAAATACGGCAAATAGCGAAATCGGCTAACTTTTTTTGCAAAACGGCTAACAAATGGGCTGCCGGCTAAATCGAATTTTCTCCGGCTGTTTGCTATCGCAACCGGCTAAATCTGGCCTTAAAACAGCTAAAATGGCAACACTGGATAGAAAGAAGTGAAACTTCTTAAAAAAGGTGTGAGTACCAGGTACCTACTCACGAAATTTGATGTGTAAACATATGTTTACGGCTCGGCAAACCATTAGGCGATTGAGTTACATGCATAGGTTTGGTTAGAAATTAAACAGTAACTTTATTTCATTTTCCGCTATCACCACCTTATATGAATTCGCCCTTCTACCATCCTTAGGACCGGATTGTAATGGAAGTAACTGAACGGAGACCTGTCACATAATTATCTATTGTATGTTTAATAAATAAATGCTAATGTTTATAATGCAATCGGCATTTCTTCTTACTCGCTTTCTATCTTCCAATGCTCAGATATATTCTTATCACCAGGGAAGGGATTTTTAGGACCTAAAAAGCTATAAAAAAGGCAAAATAAAATAACGAAATAGGCTGGAAAAGGCAAAATAAAATAGCGAAAAAGGCAGGAAAAGGTACTAGGTGTTGCAAAAAAGGCAAAAAAAGCAAAATAAGGCACCTAAAAGACAGAAAATACGAAGAACAATCAAAAAATACATTAATATTACAAGTAAAAAGAGAAAAACTATGAACTAGTTTCATTATATGACAAATTTGTACTTTGAATCTTTGACTATTTTATTCTTTCGGGTTTCTAACTCCTAAAAATTTAATCTGTATAGTTGTAGTAACATTGAACCACAAGATGCATTTTGAAGTTTTCTGGCAGCATTTTCATTCGATTTTCGCGAAGAAAAGCCTTGAATATACTAAATGTGTGCTCGACGTAAACTGATACAAGTGGAGCCCAATTTAAATATGGAACGTTTGAAACGTTCATATTATCAGGAATAAGGGCGTTTTCCTCGCCCTTTATAATTCTATCAACACCCCTTATTGTCTCCAAGCCTTCGTTAGCTGAGAAAACGGCTTTGAATTTTTCCAACACCAATTTGGCAAGAGGTCTCTGCGCTTCTATAAGCCGCATGGGCAATGTGTACATTTTTGATGTATATACATCTTTGGTTTCGGTAGGGGTAAAATTTGCGAAGCTGTAACGCATATCCCAGCACAAAATTTCGAAGGGCTTAGCATGTGTATTTCAGCATCCAATTTTTATTTTCATTAGAAGTACCCTGTGTTTGCTTGCTATTGTAAATTATTGCATACATTTAGGCATATGCATAGTAAGAGGAAATGCACTACTATTGATTATTACTTTCGATTACTTAAACTCCGCACATGCATACGGCTTTGTACCTATGTATGTACATAAATATGTATGGACTCATTTGTTGCAACTGGGCATGGATCACGTAACTTTGAAGCGATAGTCGTTCAAACGATACTGACAAAACGATGTTGTCAACGCACTGATTTATGCATTTGTGTTGCTGTTACGTGTTACTGTTACTGTTACGTGAAGCAAAGCTGGAACCGAGTTGACGATATCGCACAAACGATCAAACAATTTTTGATTTTTATGAAGCAAGACAATCTCGACACGATATCGTTCAGACGATACGTGATTCATGCCCTGGTTTTGATATTCGTAGATGGTTTTAGGCATAGGTTTAGTGGTCTATTTTGATAAAAAAGCAAGGCGAAAATTTAAAAAAATACTGAAATCATTTTAACTGGGACCGTTGATAACTCTGATCCAATACTTTTCGTGTAAAATCCTAGAAAAAGGTCAAACAAATCACTCTCTGAAGCGAGAGTAAAAAGTGAGTTACATCAAAACGTACGGAACAAAAAAGCATCGGGTAAAATC